ATTCTCAATCTGGGGGAGGGGTTATTCTGTGTTATTCGGAGATAGATATCTTGCGTCATTATTATCATATGGGAAATTTATTGCCGAAACAATTTCCTCTGAGTAATATTCAATGAATTCTGAAACATTTACATTCAAGTTATTTATGGTTAATACTATCTCTGTAAATAATTGGATGATATACATTGCTGCACTAATAAATTTCGGAAAATATTATTTATATAATATAATAAATATGGACTCAATGCACGGTCAATATGCATTTATAATGACCCAGGATGACAGATATTGACCTCAGATACATGAAGTATATCGACCTCGGGCTAGCGCCCTCGGTCGATATACTACATGTATCTTCGGTCAATATCTGTCATCCTGGGTCATTATAAATGCATATTGACCTACATTGAGTCCATATTTGTATAATAAGATTGTTATTGATTTTTTATTCCATGATATATTTCCTTTTTTCTGATAGAGTTTTGGCAATGTACTTTTTTTTTTACTTCAAACAATAAATCGTTATTGGTCTTTATACTAGTATTAAACATTTTGATACACGAGGTAGGGGAAATTAAAATTTTCTTCATATGTTTTGGTTTGAGATATGTACAAATAACAAATGCACAATTTAATATTTATATCTGAGGGCATTTTTCAATCATATAATGTTTTTATTGATGATGTATGTATGAATTCTGAGATATCTGAATTGTTTCAGAATAAAAGTGATATTTCTGTACAGTTTTTGTTTTTGCTTGTAACATATAGGTTTATAAATTAAACAAGCGATATACGACGTACAGAGTGGGAATCAACAGTTAGAAGAGGCAAAGAAACTTCAGTGTGCCATGAGGAAGAAAAACATCATCTGTTTCTCCGTTTTAATTACTGTCATTGTAATTGTCGTTATAATCATTTGACGATGACCAATACTGATTCAGAGTCATAAAGTTAGAGAGTGTTGGATAGCTGGAATTTACAGTGAGCACTGAACTTCACATACATGTATATTAATGATATCATAAGGAATCATTTAACGCCCATTATACATGTGCACGCATTACAAATATTGGATTTTCAGATGATAAAATGATACATTAAAATCTTCATGAAATAAATTTTATTTCCAAAAACTTTGTTACAAATAATGAAAGGCAAAATTCAGGTGTAAAGAATGTTTACAGCTAAATGACAAGATATGCATGTCGGAGATTTACATCTGTTTACATCATAACAATAACTGTGTAGTTGTTTATAATGTCATTGTAGTAATAGAGTACAGTATAATTGTCAATATAGAGTGCAACACAGGTGTACAATAATACAGTACTAAACAGTTATTAAGGATTAAGTACTACAAAGTTAAATAATTAAGGTCTTTCGTTTCCAACGGAAGACCTTCTACTGATTCTGATGATTAAGATTATTCTTATTATTCTTTTTTTTTTCTTTTCCTAGACGCCAACTTTGAGGCCTCATATTTCACTCATCTCTGAATGGATTTTGCTCAAATTTTTATAGTTTGTAGACGTTACTAAACCCTATCAGACTACTATCTAAAATTTCAAAAAGTCACTTCCGGTTTTGAGTTATTTCCCTTTAAACGAAAATTTATAGGCTTTCGTTTCCAGACAAAGGCTCAAAGACGGCTAAAGCTGGAGCAGAAATTCTACTGATTTTAGATAATAGAAGGATTGAAGTTGTGCATAGCGGTTTTTGTTTTTCAATTTCTCTATTCAAAATGGCGCTATATAGGGGTCAAAAATTAGAACGCCTAAAAGAGTGAAAATTTACATATATTTTGCTTTTTATCTTCTAAACTAAAAATATTTTGTTAAAACATATAGAACAAAATTTGTGCAGAATTTCAAGATCTTTCAAATGATATCTCAAAAAAGGGCTGACCCCTAGATTAAGGGATCTAGAGGGGCCAAAAGTTTTTTCCAGATATCTCAAAAAGTATTGAGAATTTGTAATACATCCGAGAAGCAAAGTTGTTCAAAATGTCAAGCTTAATCTATTGAAGTCGTCAAAATTCGTCCGGTGACGTCACTTCCGGTCTAACAGGAAGTAGTCAGAAAATGCATATTTTTGCCGTTCTTGACAAGTTTTGGGGTAACAAATATCACTGGAAGCATTAAACTTAATTTTCCGTCCGTCGACATCACATCCGGTCAAACCGGAAGTAGCCAAAAATATCTTATTTTTTTAAGATTTTGATGCAAAATTGAAATTATAAAGTGACTTGAGACGACTAATCTCATTGCTTTCTTTTGTTGACGTCACTTCCGGTCAAAACAGGACGGAAGACCTACTCGTTGCTTTGCAACGAGCTTTGCTCTAGTTATTTATAATCTAATTTTACTTGTAACACGTCATTTGATTGGATAAAAGATTTTATCCATTTTGTATAACAAAACTTGCCTACATCACAATGAATTACGTCAAAAAAAGGATATTAATCTGCTTGCCATTATTATTAAAATTTTATCAATGTGAAGCCTCATTCTGGGGGAAAATGCCTCATTGTCTGCACTGAAATTAAATTATAAGGAATGAAGCTTATTTCGCGGTTTATAGAAAAGCGTAAACTGTCCCAAATTATGTTATATCGTATATTATTAGTTGAAATTAGCTTCATTCCTTAAATATAGTACTACCAGGTATATAGTTACTTAATTTTACAATACGACACAATTATACAATTTCTGTATACAGTACCATACAGTTATAAAACTATACATCTACAAGAATTTATACAATTATAAAGTACACATAGATATATGATACAATTTTTCTAACAGTTCTGTTGATTTTGTTTTTATTTGTCTTAATTGGTTCTATCTACTTGTGCCATTCTATCAGTACAGGAAAACACTCTTATAATGAAATTAAGACCAGGAACCAACAGTTTTGTTTCATTATAAATGTAATTCGTTATGTATGTTAATGTTCAATAGAATTATTTTAAAGTGAATGGGGAGTGAAAACACTAAAGGTATTAAATAATTGTAATTGTGATTGCTATAAGCATGTTTCACTGTGTAACTTGTCTCTACACATAACAGCATTATCATAACTCGAAACAAGATGTAATAACATAGGTACAATGTGTTAATTCTTTAAGAGTAAAAAAATGTTTCTTTAGATCTGACTGTTGTACATAAACTTAATAACTTAATAATAAGCTTTAAATAAGCATTAAGTTCTTTATTAGAATTGGTAAATTTTTTTACCCCAGGGTCATGGGTTTTAGTGTGAGGGCAGGGTTATTTTATACCCGATAGATTTCTTTGAAAATCTTCTCTGCCCTGGGTTTTAAACAATCTTCATGTAAAGTTAAATTTTCCTTCTTTGTTCCTGTGGATTAAGCAGATGAACTATACCTATATTAAGTTATAACGAGAAGGGTCCTTCCAGAATTGTGAATTTCAAGCCCCTGGTTCAAGGGTACTTTCTAGAGGGGGAAAGGGGCTTTTATACTTATATTAAAACAATAAAATGCTTTCTTTGTTTGTTATTACTGGAATTGACGGAAGCAGCTGTTGCAGAAGAAATACATAACCTGCGTTATTATGTAAATTTTTTTCGGCAATAGCTGCGTAAGTGGGTTATGTAAATTTTTTTTTGCAATAGCTGCGATCGTTAATTCCAGTAATAACAAACAAAGAAAGACATTTTATTGTTTATATTTATATCTGTTTAAATAATCATTTTAAGTATGATTAAAAGATTAATTATTGTATTAATGATGCGAACGTCTTTATACGTTTCATTGATGGAACAGCCACAGATCAAGAAATCTGTACAGGCGACATGCCTAATGTAGTTCATGCAGTGATTAAAGCAAAGGAGTAAATATTAAGTGGATGTAAATATACTGAATATGAATTAATGCTTTGAAATCTCTTCCTTGGCTTAATCAAAAAATTATGATGAGCAAGGGTGACTATTCTAAAGTTGTGATTGTGGGCCCAGAATCAGGTGTTCTTATGGGGGGAGGGGCACTACTGAGTTTTGCCATAATACTGAAACATGTAAGTTTAAATGCATTTTTTGTTCCCCTACTCTGCGTATTAGTATTTAATAACCACACGTAGCATGTTAAGTGTATAGTTAAGATGAGCAATGGTGCTTTTTCAAAAATAGTGAATGTCTTGCTCTCAATTTAAAATAAGAACAAAATTCACTTGTTGGAAAGTTTTTGTATGATGCTCAGGTGACATAGAAGGCCCATAGGCCTCTTATTTGTCAATTGTTACCATCTTACCTTTGTATCCTTATACACGAGTATATGCTGCATATGCTAATTCTTACAGTTACTGTATAATTTTGTGGTGGTTTGTGAGAGTTTGTTACCAGCTTAGTTTTGTTTTTGTTGCCTTGGCAGGTTTATGGATTTTGTTCTTTACCATACATGTGTTGGTTTTAACGTTTTAAGTTTATTACCTTGCACCAATCTGAGTGCCCCCTCTGTTAATATGAAGGCCCAAGATGTTACAAGTGATATTGGCAGTGAATAACAGCTTTCTGTGCATGTCAATTGATTGAGAAAGTTTTATTAAAATCTTGCGTGGCGCAGTGGTTAGAGCACTCTGGTTAGAACGTCTGCTCTAGAGTCGCGAAGTAATGTATTTACCATTCTAGTTTCTCCTGTGAGCGCTGTGGCCCCTGGGTCTCATGTTAGATTAAAGAATTCATCAGAGACTTTGAAATCACAAATTTTTGTGGGGGTTTAATTTTTGTTGTTTCGAGGTATGAAAAGACCCACGAATTCAAGTCCACCACGAAATAAAAATGTTTCATACATATGTACTCATTAATTCTTGATCCACGAAATCAAATCCCCACGAACCAAGAGATATTCCTAAAACCACAAAAATTTGACACCACAAATATATGTGATTTTACAGTATTAAATAAGAAATACAGGGATATAAAACCCAGCTATCAGGTAATCTTTTATAAATCTGGCATTTTTTGCTAATAAAGTAATCTTATTGAAGATACTCTCCCTGCGCCATTCTTATTTCTGTGGCTGTGTGTATTTTGTGGTATGGCTCTTGACTAAGGGATTGTTGGTATGAGTATAGAGCAGCCTGGAGGTTTCCTGTTACCTGTTGACAGATCCCCAGAATCTGCCATGATATGTCTCTGCAGTGTAAACATATAAGCTGTCCCTGATCATAGTGAACTAAGGTCTGTAGATCATCAAGAACTGTTTGTACTCTTCTTGTGTCTACATGTCTGTAACACAAGATTTCTAGCATGTATAACAATACCAGGGGTGGGACATATGCTATACGGCATTTATTCTGTAGAGCAGACTGTTGTTCTGGTATCAATTCATTGATGTAATGAATTGTATTGTTAAGTCTGATATTCCGTGCTACAGACTCTCTCATCCTTGTAGACCAGGACAGTCTCTCTACAATGTCAGTATACCTCTCTGTTTCTACATAATTGTTATACATCACACATGGCTGTGCTAACTTGACCTTGATCATCTCTATAATAGATAAAGCTTTCATGTATCTAAGTGTTTTGTAATAATACATGGCTGTGTACATCATGTCAGTAATACAACCAAACTTGGCAGCTAATTTTAGCATGTGACAGGAGATTTTGTCAGCTGTATACCTTGGTTTGTTTTTATGCGTGTTAAGTTGTAATATAAAAGCAGTGTACTGAAGGACAGAAGTTGTAAGACTCTGAAGTATTAAGTTTTGATACTGTGTCAGGAGGGGTAAACCTATCAAATTTTCGATTGTTTGTTGATATCTCATACAGCTTTGTATGTTTGATTTCTGTGATGCGTCATAGCTGTGTATTTCATGAGAAAGGATTATATCAAACTCAGCCTCAGAAATCAGAGTATGTTCATCTGTACAGATGGAGAGTTTGGGGTTATGGAGGACATTTATAATACAATATCTAACGGAGGGACTGTGTAGCAGGAATCCCAAACCTTTCTCATACAACCCATACAGTCTAATAAATAATTGGTGTTGTTTGTCACCATGAATTTTACTCAGAAACATGTTGTTTTCTGGAATGAAAAAGTTAGGACAGACCCCCTTATACACCCATTTCAACAGCAGTTTAAAACAGACCCAGAAACATTCCAGAACATTTTGTGGATACCAATGAGGTATTGTATTTTGTTGAATCACCCAGAAAACTGCTGTCTTCAGGTGATAGGAACACAGTAATTTATCATCATCACCTACTCCATTGTTAATTATTTCTGTTAAGATCAATTTGAGTAAGCCATAAGTTAAGAATTGACAGTGGTTCATTGCATACACTAGTATCTGTTCTGCCAGAGAGAAAGAAATTCTCCATTCGTGGTCTTCATGTCTTCCCAGCTTATGTCCGATTGGTACAAAGTGACATCCATTTTTTACTATTTCATCAACAACATGAGGCTGGGGCCACGAGTGACATCTGTCTATCCATGAGGAGGCAGATGAAGGCCAAAAGTCACTAACAAAACAGTGGGCAGAATCGTATTGTTTTGTTCCAATTGTTCCACTGGCACAGGGCCCATGTTGACTTGGGTTTAGTGATGATAGAGAAAACATGATCTGTCTGTATTTAGAACTAGATATATAATGTCTGTTATTCATTCTAACACAAGCTTTATGGAAATCACTATACATGCTTGGTGACAGTAAATATAACAGAGTAAATCCTGGTGGGCTTTCAGAACAGTCACAGAGTATCAGTGTTTGTCTATGTGTGTTGTAATATTGAGACTGAAATAATTCCCAGATCACACGATGATCGTTCAGCCAGAGCATCATGTCTACATCTGAACCTTTCAGTTTGAATCCTTCTTTCTGACTTCCACTCAACATTATACTGTACACATCTAATGTATTGACTTGATTTCTCGTCTTATCAAAAATATCCACCAAATCTCTTCTCATGGCCACCAGTTGTGAAGTCCCCACTTTAAGACACAGTCCCACAAACACTGACTCTGATATGTGTTGTATGACTGTTTTACTGATAAAAATTAAAAGGATGACTAATGTACTTTTAAATATAATATTTTCAACATCATAAGAAACACTTGTCTTTCTTCCAAAAAAAAATCAATTTATGCCTGCAAATTTTAAGAATGTTTTCAAATATCAACATCTTTTCTACTCTAAATTTTCTGGATTATATTTTAATTTTTTTTTCATAAATACACAATAAACACATTCCATAAGCATGTGTAAAGTATTAAGGATAAAGTTAAAATTTTTGAATGTGATAAGATTTCTATTCTATTTTCGTATGAAATGAAATACAACATATTAGTCAATAATTTATAACAAAGAAAACTAGGGAAAATAAAAAAAACCTCATCTCCAAAAAAGCATAACAAAGTCATAGCATAATCATGTTGATGCTTAATTATATGGGATAAAAATAAAACCAAAATTTTTCAGGGGAAAATATTACCACAACAGCAGCTCCAAATTTGGAATTATCTTTTAAAAATTTCACATGTTTAAATTGTTTGAAGGTTATATTAATCTATCGAAATCTTAAAAGAAACTGATTGAAATAATGTAAGCATTTTTATATGTCATACATTTCGTCAATAAAACTTACATTAAAGAATTTTGTGAGCCTCTGATGGAGTCCATGTTGAAAAGTAAGATCTGAAAACTTCCAGGTGCTATATATAATACAGAAAAACCCATCTACTTTCGTTTTCATTTATAATACCTTTATAGAACAGAAGGTGTTCTCTGAATAGATTTTTTTAAATCACTGAAAATAAATACATGTAGTACATTTGCCAAAACCTGAACATTTAAACTGAGATAAGAAAATACAAAAAATAAAATTCTTTGTGAAGCAATGACACCCCTATATGGCATCTGGCATCAACCCTGAATTGGAGTACGGAATGTTCTATCAACTTGATATACTCCAGTATACAGTGGACCTTCAGATATCCGGACCCCAGATATCCGGATGTTTCAGTATCTGGACGACTTTTCATTTGTAAATGTAATTTTTTCTTGTTTAACTGATGATTCAGGTATCCGGATGATTCACATATGCGGATAAATTGACTGGGTACCAAAACGTCCGGATAAATGAGGCTCCACTGTACATAGGATCACAGTGACCAGTCAACAAGGGATGCTTACTCCTCCTAAGCACCTGACCTCACTTCTTCCAGGGGTCCATTTGTTATGCTCTCTTCACATGTTTGCTTTGTTTATAGGTTTTTGAAATTGATTATTGTTTATTATCTTAACCCTTTTTATCAAATTACTAGTAAGCAGAAAACGGCTAGTTTCATTTCATTTCATATTATTCAGGTAAAAATATCACATAATGACAAGATTCACATTTATGACATTACAAATTGGCCTACATGTACTTACAGAAAAAAACACATTATCTCAGCACTCTTTGTGCATAAAAATAGCATTGTCATCTGCATATAGAATTAATTTACTGTCATCAACAATACTGACAGCTAAATCGTTGACATATATTAAAATTAAAAGAGATCCTTGAGGAACTCCAAAATTTATAGAATTAAAATCTGATGAAGAATTGTTGACATGAACATGTTGTTGTCTACAAGACAGATAAAATTAAAACACACAGTGGATAAAACTCCTACAACTTCTAATTTATCACATACATTTGCATGGTCGACAGTGTCAAAAGCTTTTTGTAAATCCAACATAATCATACCTTTAAAAGCCCTTTGGATATATTACTTTTGATAAAATCTAACATATGTATTAAACAATTATCTGTTGAAAATTTGTTTCTAAAACCTGATTGGTATGAATACAACAAGTGATTATCGTTTTAAACATCTAAAACTTAACATGGACACATTTTTGAAAAATCTTTGAAACTTCACATAGTATACTAACTGGCCTATAATTTCCAACTTCAAGGGGAATTTCCTTTCTTGAATAGAGGTTTGGCTCTTGCCATTTTAAAATCTTCTGGTACAGTACCAGTTTATGAAACAGAAATTATGCCCTAATCAACTGGTACACATTTTGAGTCTTATTTATCTAACAGTAGTGCATGATGAAAGGTATAGAAGGCTGCCCATACTTATGGTTGACAAGATATTGTTAGTCATAGACTCCTGACATTGATAACCTGTTTTGATTATTTGACCGACTCTGTTCTTAATAACAATATTTCTTGTCTCATTCATTCTCCTTCGCAGTTATGATAAGGCTGTCCAAAGGCTTAATTAAATTGCCTTAAAATATACATTTCATTTTAAGCTAGATTTTAATTTCAATATGTGATCCTTGTTTGATATTGCTGTCAACTTGAGATAATAGTTTAATCAGGTATTATAATAAAGAATTTCTGTGATGTCATATGACTGTGTTGATCACGTGACGGACATTTATGATATTCTTAAATGTTGCACAAAAATCGCTTCGGCACAAGTTCAAAACAAAATTATTGTGCAAAGTTTGTTACATAGATTAATTCATCGTGATCTCTGGTACATAAAAAGTGCTGGGAACAGGTTTAATTTTTACTTCTTAAGAAATTGTTTTACGAAAAATTCAACTTACCAACATAAGAAGGGTTTTTCCACTCCTTATCGCAATTCATACTAAAATGGATAAACTACATACGATCCCCCAGCAAAATTCGGCTAAGGGACATAATTCTCTATTAGATTCACGCAGAATATCTTCAATTTATCTTTGTCTTTCACTTGTGCCAGTCAAATATAAACACTATTAAAAATTCTAACTCTTTCTACGGACTGCAAGGGGAACGTTTCGCATATAATTTTTCGCTATTGTTTGAATATGTGCATATTGGATAAGCGAAAGGAAAAGGTTATCTATATTTAAATGTTCAACACCATAACAATACATGGAGCATAAAACAATCCCAGCACTTTAATTAAACAACACAGCCCCCCAAAATATACATGCCATGTGTAAAAAATATGACACTTTTCCCGTTATGTAAGCTCAAGTATGCAGTGACTTGACGTCATATTCTATTATGATGTTTATCTAGGTGGTTCACAGAAGTAACTTCAGTTTGAACAGTTTGATATTTTACGGACAGCCTTATCCTGGCCACGTTACTTTTTCATCATCTAAAATTTTACTTAAATTATCTGCCCTGCTGACTGATGCAAAAGGTGAAATTAGTGAAAAATTATTCGCTCTTTTCTAAACAGACTCTTCTTATTACTAAGTAATTCTTGAAAGTGACATTGACATTCATTCATAAAAATAATAAATTCATTCATTTACGAATTATAGGCAGTAGAATTGCAGTTGAACATAAATATTGGTCAAATTTTAAAGCCAAGATTAGTTTACAGGGAAAAAATCAAAATATCTCCATAATACACTAAAACCACATTAAACAATGATATTAAAGCAACTCCATATGAGACAACCCATTTTCATTGGAATAACGATGGGATTAATGCTTCTACAAATCTGCTTAAAAACAGCAGGGCCAAGGTGACTCGGGTGAGCACTGATACCAATAGACCTCTTATTTTATATTAAAGAATCATTCAGAGAAGAATATGGAGATAACGAACAGTATTCAATCTCAAAGTCCATAAAGCAATACAAAATAGGAGCAGGGCAAACACGGACCTCCGAAACACCGAACGTGGGATCAGGTGCTATGGAAGAGTGAGCAACCCCTGCTGACCGGTCACATTCGCCGTGTGCTCCTTGTCATGATCATAACTGAAATAACGGAAAAAATCCGTCGTCAATTTAGTGTATAAATAATAGACTAATAATTAGTATAAAAACATCAGTCAGTATTTGACTCAATGATAAATTGTATTTGCTGACAAGGTAATTGTATCGATCATAAAACTTTCGAAATGATAACTTTAAACGAGAAGAGATAAAGGAATGTTAGCCCTAACAGATAATCTTTTTAGCTCACCTGAACTGAAGGCCAATTTCAACCATATTGGCCACAAAGAATCACTGATTCAAGTTTGTTTCAATGAAGGGCAATGTCCTCTTCCAAGGGGAGATAATTATGAATTAGCGAAAAATTAATGGCATCTTTCAAAAAACTTCATCCCAAGAACAACTTGGTAAGAAAAGATGAAACTCATGCACCCACAGGTAGTGCAGATTCAAATTTGTTCAAACCATCATCCACGGGGGTAGGGCGGGGCCATTATGGCTGATCAAAGTTTGACATATTGGAATATAGAGGGAAAATCTTGAAAAATCTCAAAAACTTCAAAGCCATGATTCGTGAAATTTGTATGGAAGTTTCTTCAGATAGTGTAGATCAAGTTTTTTTCAAAACATGACTTCCAGTGTAGGGTGGGGCCACAATGGATTGATTGATTAATTGATTGTATGTTGTTTTAAGTCCCTCTTGAGAATTTTTCACTCATATGGAGACGTCACCGTATGCCGGTGAAGGGCTTCAAATTTAGACCTATACTCGGCACTCAGGGCCTTTGAGCAGTGAGAGTTCTTTATCGTGCCAGCGCCTACCGTGACACGGGACCTAAGTTTTTAAGGTCATATCCGAAACACCCGTGACTTTTACTTCTAGTGCCGAGCGCTTGGCGAAGGAACAGTCACTACCTTTGTTTACGTCTCAGGTATGACGCGGCGCCGCGAACGAGAATCGAACCCGGGCCTCCCGATCACGAAGCAAACGCTCTACCACTAGGCTACCGTGACCGGTAGGCCACAATGGACAATCAAAGTATAACAAAGAAAAATATAGCTAAAATCTTTAAAAGTCCAAATGAGATGAAGTTCAAGGTCACGTAATCATAGAAGTTTGTGTCTTTTCATAGTTCAGACGCGAGTGATGTTAACCGTCATTCTTTTCGGATTTTATTAATCATTTTATTTAAAATTCCACTGGTTTTGTAGCCAGTGGTTTGTAGCAATATTGCTAGTACAGAACACATGTTCTTTGCATTTTCCCATGTGGGAATCTGTTGCATAGCGTTGCATTTCTTTCAACATGTGTTGATCAAGACGTGCAGCATTTGATTCAGTGACGTCACTGATGCAGGGGCTGTAGCCCCGTACGCCATTTTGCTTTTACACGCCATGTGGTGTGGAGTTTAAGCGTTGAGAGAATCTTGAATCTCATTGCATTCTTTCTTGGCGGCATGGCTAATGAGCCGGGACCATCATCGCAAATGCGAGAATCCAGCAGCTATGATCTAGTAGATCAAGTTGACGAGGATGCCGTTCGTGACGATTACAGGATGCATTCGAAGTCGAAGCAGCAAACTGAAAATATGAGTGGTATGTTTGATATTTCATGCGTAAATTTGCAGATATGTCTAAGACCATGACTTCAGTTCAAAAGGAACTTATTGCTTTGAAGTCTGACCGGTCTTCAACGAATACAATTCCGGACGTTTCGAGGAAACGCGGACAGAATAAGAGTAGTTCGCCACCTCGCAAGAAAACGAAAACGAAAACGTCTCAAGCATGCATTCGTCCTTCTCACGAACTTAGTGATGATGACTCTGATGTAGAAAATTCAGACAAATCGGATGCCGATGAAGCACTTAATTCCCTTATTGAGGGAGACGATAGTATTCATGATTCGTCAGATGATGATGAGGTTTCTGCTCTTAATGAAGACAAGAAGAGCGAAC